CTGCAGGACTTCGCTCAGCCGCCAGGCTGCCCGTTTCACAGATGAGGCCAGTCAAGGCAGAGTACCCATCCCACAGACAGAAGTGCCGGAGGTGGGGGGCTGGGCCGAGCTCCCTAGTGGCCCAGAAGCAAGAATATTCAGATTCCTGGGAGATTTAGGTGCTGGTATTTCTCTCTGCAGACCCAGCGCTTCCTGAGGGCAGCCAGCAAGGTGATGCGTGCACGTCTGCCCCAAAGCGGGGCTGTTGGTGCTCAAAGCCAGGGGTGTTGAGAACCGGTCAGGACGCAGCAGCCCCAGGACTCACGGGAGGGACTCTGGCAAAGTGCTTTCTTTTTTCAGAGAAGTTAGGGAGTTAGGAGTGCACAGGTCAGGAGGATGTCACACGCTCAGCTGTGTAATGGTTCCAATGAGGCATCGAGTAAAGACTTTCATGATACCCCGAGGGACAGACCCAGAAACCCGGGCTGGGTAACATCACCATCAGTGCAGCCAGTTAAACAAATATCCCTAAGGAAGCCGCCTGGCTGACCTTGACCTTTCCTTCTTCAGCATTTGAGCACTATTAGGATGGGAGAGAAAGCGTGTTTGTGACGCGGTCAAGATGCTGCAGCGGATTGACCTTTAGCCCCCCTGCCCCCGCTAAGCGCATAGTCCAAAAGAGGATAAACCAGAAAGGACGCAGCAGCAGAGTCCACGCCCAACGGTGGACGACCCGGGAAAAGGGGTGAGAGGACAGCCCCGGGGCTGCGGCGCTGGCCAGAGGCTGCGGGGCGTGTGCCCAGGCTCCACCCTGGCTGTGTGCAGACAGAAGCGGGCACAATCTAGGGGGGTGTGTATAGCCTCCAGGTGGCACCCGGAGTCCAGCTGCAGCCATGGGGGGACGTGAAAGGTCAGTTTGTTTCTGATAACATCCTGTGACCTGTAGTTAAAGCTGCTTCCCCTCGCCTTTCTGTGGGTTCTGCTCTCGCCAGGTCACGGGGTGCCAGGAAAGCACAAGAGCCTCACAGCTTTCACCCCTGGGATGTCACATCCAGGGAACAGGCCTGCGGAGTGCAAGGTCACCAGGGGAGCACGTGGACCGCAGCCCACGGTCCCTGAGGAAGCGGCCTGGGAGGGTCTGAAGGCCAGGGAGGCAGAGCTGGACAGGCCTTCCTGACCTTTTCGGCCCCTCCCCCCCTGTGTCCAGCTCTGCCTCCCTGGCCTTCAGACCCTCCCAGGCCGCTTCCTCAGGGACCGTGGACTTCTTGTGGAGGGGCCGTGGCCTGGTGCTGCGGTCCACGCTGGCCCCGCCCGGCCGACGCGCCTGCCGATGCCAGGACCGTTCTTGGCACAGGGTCCAGTGCCAGAAGCCAGCTCCGCTCCAGGGCCAGCAATCTGGTCAGCCAGAGCCAGCGGCCGCCGCAGACATCACCATCACGTCGAATTCCCAGTGACTTGGTCCTTTCCCATCAGGCCTTCCAGTGCCAAGGGCCCAGGGGGGTCCAGAGCCCGGGGGAGAGAAGCAAGTGGCCCCCCGCGGGGAGGGGAGGCCGCCCACCAGCACCAGCTCAAATGCGGCCTCAGGGCTTGGCCATCTGCACCCCAATATCTTAAAGGGAAGCAAAATCAGTTTCCAGGCCCTCCCTGGTGGCAACAGGTTAAAGCGTAGCACTATGAAGCTAGAGCAGCCCCTGCAGCATGAGTTCGATCCCTGGCCTGGGGTGACCCACAGGGCGCAGCAGACCCCTCCTGTCTCCCCACTGCTCCCTCAGCAGTGGACTTCATCGATTTGCCTGTTCTGCTCCCCACTCTGTCTCTGGTGAAACTACTCACCCCCTGCATCTCTGGCCTGTACCCCAGTTCTGAATTCTGTGTGTATACGTTAAAAAAAAAAGATCAGTTTCCAACGGAAACAAAACCCAGAACCAAAGTTAGATGAGACGAGGTGCGCCGAGCCTCCCCCACGCTGGAATGTGGTGGCCTGGGCCCCACGCGATCAGGCCGGAGAACTAGCCGAGGTGAGGGCTTGAGACGGAGGAGCAAGGACAGCATCTAACCCAGACAGCGTCTCCCCACAGCAGGCACTGGGGGAGTTAAGTCACAGATGTCACAGCGAGGCCGTCAAATCAGCCCCCAGCCATCGCTGACTTTCTCAGCACCTCGGGCCCTGTCACCTGCTGTCCTGACTTGTCACCATCAAAGCCCAGGGCAGCCAGGAATGTCCGCACGGGGCCTTTCCTGCCGGCAGTGGCACAGAGCCGCCTCCAGGGGGAGCTCCAGGCCTCCCCCAGGACTTCACCGGAACCAGAGGTCAGGGGTGGGCTGGGGACACTCAGGGAAGCAGTAAAGGGGCCAAAGGGATGACCTCTGTTCTTCCCTCTGCCCCTGCCCATGCACGGCGGGGGGGCGGGGACAGGACCAGCTGGAGCTCTGGCCCCCACTGCCATCTGAGCGCCTGCAGAATGCAGGGGCACTCCCAGCCTCTGCCCATCTCTGGTCAGTGTGGCCAGACAAGCCCAGGAAGCGAGCAGCCTCGGGGCTGGAGGCGGGAGACACGTGGGGTCCTGAGGGCACCTCCCTGGAGACCAGCCCCTGAAGAAGGCCAGCGCTCGTCAAGGGAGACGGCAGGACCGGGAGAAGGGAGGGGAGGCCTGAACGAGGCCTCAACGCCGAGCCAACACGCGCAGCCACGCACCAAGCCCGGCTCTCCCGAGCCGCAGACGGCTGCGCCCGCTGAACGTCCTCCCGCCGGCGCCCGGGAGCATGCCCCGGCCGCGTGATGATTCCAGCTGGGTAGCGCGTCAGTGCTGGGATACGTTACAGCGGCTCGTGGGCGCCTGTGAGTGTCCTCTTACTGGTGTGTGAGCCCCATTCTGCAGGTGGGGGAACTAGACGCAGGAAGGCAAGTGGCAGAGCAAGGGGGTCTCCAGCCCCGCCCGCTTCTCCCACGCAGGCCGCCCCAGCCCCACCCCCACCCAGGATCCCACCGACTGTGTCCCCAACTGGTCCCCCCACCCCCCCCACTGCTTTCTCGCCTGCCCGCGGGGTGCCTGGCCAAGCGCTGTCACCGTGCGTGCCCAGCGAAGGCGAAATAAAATCCCAGGTGGCCCGAGGAACTCGACCCGCAGGCCGCCCGGCTTGGGGGAACACCCTGTCCTCTCAGCCGGGCCTGGCTTGGGCTGAGCCTCGCTCTAGAAGGCTCCGCTTCCCTGTGCTCTGTTTATTGAAACCCTACTCTCCTCCCAGGTCTGCCCCAGCGCCGTTCTGAGCTGCCTTCCCCGACCCTGCCCGTCGAAATCCCTCCTGATGTGCCTCCTGTCCACAGCACTGGCCACAGGCGCAGCCTCACGCCCACATTCTCCCTCCAGCAGGTCCCTCTGGGGCGTCGCACACTCTGGGCCGAGAGCAAGCTGTCTTGGGAGCGTGCTGCCCCCCTCCGAGGGCTCCTCTCCGGCCCCAAGGCTGACAGCAGGCCAGGGCGGAGCGGCTTCACCCTTCCCAGAAGCAGGCAGCCAGCTGGGCTCCCGGCCACGGCGGCCAGCGGGTCTGCCTGTCCATCCAGCTGGCCAGCAGTGTTGGCTTGCCCCGCATGGGCCCGTCTGCCTCAGTTTCCTGCTCCTGTGCTCCTGCCCTGCTGCTTTGCTGGGACCCACTTCTAGGCCTGGGCTTCCTCTGTACCCCCAGAATGGCCAGAGCCAGCCCCTGGCTGAGAAACTGGCTTCTCACTGGGGTTGCTCACTGGGGACCCCTCCGCACCCCCACCAGCCACCTTGGGCAGGACAGGCCAGATGCTGCAGATGTGGTGCCAGCCAAAGCCCCTGCAAGTGCCCTGGGGCCCTTCGGACGCTGCCTCGGGCAGGCCGAAGCGCAGCCGTTACCGTCACCCTGACCTGCCACCTCCCCAGAAGTCACGGCGCCCCACAGGGACACCCAGGCCACAGGAGGACAGCAGAGGGGCTGCCGAGGATGTTTATCGGGGCTCTAGAATCAAGCACACCCAGGGGCACGGGGCTCGGAAGAGGAGCGGGGTCGTTTCCTGTAGCTTAGTTACAAGGAGCCACAGGGAACCGGGAAGTGAAACAGGACCCAGGGCCCAGGCTCCCCGAAAGGTGAGAGTCTGTGTCCTTACACTGACTGGATATTCCAGACCTCCCGGGACAGACGTGCCTTTGTGGTTGGGAGAGGTAAGTAATAATCAGAAGCATGAGCGGAAAACAGACACTGCGAGGGCCCGATGAGGACAGGGAGATGCCCGGCCAAGGTGGGGGGGCTGCGGGCTCCACCCCCTGCCTGCCCCCTGCTGCCTCTTCCAGGCCCAAGTCCATAGGCAGTAGGGGAGAGAGACCGCGATGGCCTGGGTGGCCTGGGCAGTGGCGGAGACTCCCGGCTCCCTTCTTGGCCAGCACAGGTGTGACGGCGTGCCACGGACACAGCCACGCGGTCCCCACAAAACACAGGCCCCAGTGCAGGGTGGTCGCACACACTCCTGGGCGGAGGCCCCGCTCTGTCCTCAGCCTGGGGGAGGTAGCGCTGACCGGGCCCAGGCAAGCACCGTCCACTCCACTCTGGACATTCTTGCCCACCGGGCCAAGCAGCAAATGGAGGCGGAGGTGGGAGCAGCCTGCCCCGCCTTGCGCCCGCATCTCTAGGCACGAGGCCCAAGGCAGGCCCCAGGGCTACTCCGCGCCTGCCCTTCTGCCGGGACCACCGGCCCCCGTGGCCAACAGAGGCCAGGCGAGGCCCAGCCCAGCGGGAGCCAGCCGGCATCCCCGCCTTGAGGATCGAAGCCACCACAGTTTCCCACCCAAGGCAAAGATAAAAGCCTTCAATCCCTGCACAGTCTCTAAAAGCACTTCGCCCACGCATCCATTCCGGAGCCCTAAGGAGCCACCGGTCCCTGGGACTAATCTGGGGAAAAGTGAACAGACAAATCCGAAACGAGAGCCTCAGGCACAGCTGGCCCGGGGGTCTACTCAGCACTCCGTCCCGGGCTGGGGTACGACAGGCCCACTGGTCCTTACCCACGACCAAGGTGACTCGGGGCTGCTCTTGTCCCGGGAGGCCTCCCAGCTGGAGCTGCAGCTGCCGTCCTGCTCGTCCATGCGGGAAGGGGCGAGTGGCCTCCTCGCCAGCCCGGAGAGAATGCCCACACGCAACACAGCGGCTAGCGCCGTGGGCTCAGCAGAGGCCGAGACCAGGGCAGCGCTTCCCCTTACAGCCCAGGAGCCTGGCCAAGTCACAAGGCTCAGGGACAGAGCGGAGTGTTGAATTGCAAATCCTCTCCCACCTGGGGGCTGGCTTAGAAACTCCTGGAGACTGGTCCCTGTCCTGTCCTGTCCTGTCCAGAGAGAAGGATGCTGACTCCCAGCACATCCCAGTTTCTATCCTCCTTGGGTGGGACGCTGGGGGGCATGACCTGGCTGACAGATGCTGTCACTCTCTCCACGCCCGCACTGGAGCCCCTGTGAGCAAGGCCAGAGATGGACGCACTGCCCCAAGATCACGTAGCTCGAGAGAACAGAACTGGGGCTCCAGCTGAGTTCTCTTTCAGGGGGCAAGAGGGGTGCCAGGGAGAGGCCTTCCTGTTGCTGTCCAGGCAGCCATCCATTAAGTTTCAGCTGTGCTTCAGTTTCCCCCAAAGCCGGGGCTTCCTCTCAGTCCCTCTGAATTGCCCTGGCACCCCTCAGGGACTGAGGAAAGCTGCGCCCAGGGGGTTCCCGTCCCCTCCCCCAGGCCCAGCAGCCTCTGTCATCAAAACCGCTCTCCTCTTGGAACAGCTCCCACTCACCAGGAAGCAAAGCACTTAAGCTGCATCCTGGTAAGTAATTTGCACAGCAGCCCTATAAGGTTTCAGACAGAACTGGGTCGGGACTTAAGGCAGGGCCTGGGGACCTCAAAACAGTGTGCGGTCTAATTCTAACCCTGCAGTTTGGGGGGCAGGGGGAGATGGGGGACCGATGTCACTGCAGAGGGGGTATGGAGGCTTTGATCTATCTTACCAGGGACTGAGGAGACAACCTGCCATCTGCACAGAGAGAGACAGGGCGGCCCCTGGGTGCACAGTGCGGTTCAGGGAAGGGGCTCAGAGCTCGGATAAAGGGCTGCAGTCCCCCCTCTTTGGCAGAGAAGCCCCTTCCCCACCCAGCTGCCCCCCCTCCTCTGTCCAGCGCCTGTGCTGCTAAGACCTCAGGCCTGCTGATGTCTTCAGCCTACTGCTGCTCCTGGCGGGATGCCCTGGGGTTCTGCTGCTCCCCCCCTGCCAGCTGCTCTGGTTTCACACTTCCTCCTCCCTCTTCCTCTGTCCCTCCAGACCCTTGTGGGGTGGTAGCTGGGGTTGCAGTGAGGTGGAGGAGCAGGAGGTGCTGGCGCATGTGATGGGTGGAGCCACCTGCGCAGGCTTGGGGTCCTGGCTTCCCCAGGGCCGCTTCAGTTAGGCGCAGAGAGGCCCTGAAGCCAGGCCCCCAGTGCCCAGCTCACCAAGGCGCGATCTGGCCGCAGCACACGGGGCCTCCTGCCTTTCTTACTAGAGAAATGCCCTGGCGTGGCCCAGGATGCTCAGGCTCTGAGCTGGGAGCCCACCGCCCACGCCAGGACGAGCCCCCACGGTCAGGATGCCCCAGTCCTTAGTGCCAGGGAGAAAATAACCACACTTTAAGACACTTCGACTGACTGGGCCACCCTTGCTATTTTTAATTCCTGCTGCGAAGATATTTTAAGAACCTCAGTACCAACGAGTGATAAGATTGGGAGTAATTACACCTGGCCGTGTTTGGTACTTACACAGGAATGTGCCGGTTCTGAACAGTTTAGTTCAAGTTCACAGTGGATCAGGAAGGACCTCAGGGGAGATAGAGGAGCTGGGGGTGTGGCGGAGGAGCAGGGGCGTGGCGGAGGGGCGTGGCGTGGCGGAGGGGCAGGGGCGTGACCTATGGGCAGGGGTGTGGCGGAGGAGCAGGGGCGTGGCCTATGGGCAGGGGCGTGGCAGAGGAGCAGGGGCGTGGCAGAGGGGCGGGGGCGTGGTCATGCTCCAGCCCGCAGGTCGGAGGGAAGCCGAGGTTGGTGGCAGGTGTCTGGCCGCTGGGTGGGCAGGGAGAGCCAGCCGGCGTGGCTGGTGCGCGCAGAAATGTGGCTCGCAGGTGGTCAGACTCCCAGAAGTTCAGTGTGAGGGTTAAATCTGAGTCACCCAGACTTGGGTTCCCGGTCTGACTCAGGACAATTCACCCACCCTGAGAGCTTTCATTTCCTTATCTGGAGAAAACCCCCTCCCTCAGCGGGTTCTGGGGATACTCGGGCCACTCACACACGTGAAGTCCTTGCCATGCCGGCTGTGACTGGACCCAAGTAGCATGCTAACCCTCGCTGGGGCTGGGTGGCCGTGGGAGTCCTGCCATTGTATAGACCAAGAGGAGCTTGTGCTTCCTTTAGGGTGTGGGGCTATCGCACGTTCTCCAGCCTCCCCGCCCCCCAGGTGCCCCTGGGGACCACGGCTCGGACAAGCTGAATTTCTGACGCCTCCGCTGTGTCCTCTGTGCTGGGCGCACAGGATGCCACCTTCCCCCAGACTACTGGCACAGAGACTAAGATCAGCTTTGAACCCCCGAGCGCGCTTCAGAGCCTCCCACCTGTAAACCTTGGGTCCTGCTGTGGCCCCTTCCTGAACGCCTCCCTCCCTCCCTCCCTTTTCAAGGCACGTGTGAGGCCCAGGGAGACTCCTCCGTGACGCCCCCATCCGCGCAGTCCTCAGCGATGTCACCGTTTGCCATTGTCACTCTCTTTCCATCTTTTGGCAATGACTCTGTCATTGAGCTGTCTAAGATGCATGCCCTCTGCTACCCATGACTCACCTGTGACCTCTCCTCTTCATGCATACGATGTAGGGCCTCTCGTTACATGCTTACTTGCCGCCTGTCTTCTCTGGCGACATGTCTGCTGAAAACTTGACCATGGCTCAGACTGAGTGTCTGGTTTCCTTGTTGCCGACCTTCCTGGGTTCTGGGCATCTTTCTTGGACAATCGTCCTTTCTACACACCTCCATCAGACTCACCCAGGTCCCAGGTGGAAACAGAAGGGATAACTGAGCAGGGTCCTGAGGAGGCCTCACGAGGAGATTGCTTACCAGGCTGTGGGCAGGGTGTGGGCCAGGGCCTGGGCCAGCAGCAGGAGGGGCGAGACCCCCGGGGTGAGGGGGAAGGAGAGGAGCAGTGACCCAGCACCCTGGCTTCTGAGGGTGAGGTAAGATGTCTCTGCAAACACCTTTTAGCTCTAAAGTTCTAGCTTTCTAGCCCAGACTAGGAAAGAGGCCTGCGCAAGGCCTGAGAGCGTGCTGAGCGCAGTGATGTCACCCTTCCCCCTGCACTGCCGGCTCTGGGGAGCAGGTGCCCAGGAGCGCACCCAGGGTGGCAGAGGGCTCCCTGGGGACAGCAGCACGGCATGGAAACAGCCCGTTAGCAAGAACAGCCACGGGCGAGCTCTGGGCCAGGCTGCCGTGAGACCCAGGCGCTCAGCAGCTCAGCAGAGGGTGGTCCGGCTCCTGTCCGCAGGGGAGGGAGGGCCAGACCTTGCAACACTCATTTAGTCTTCACAGAGATTCTGTAGTGCAGATAATATTTTTTGATGCAGAAGTAGTTTGAGAGGGGTTAAAAAAAACAACCTAAAGTCACACAGCTGGTACATGATGACGCCCAGTCCAGGTCCTGCCTGCGGGGCTCCAAACAGAACCGGCTTTCCACCCAGATGGCTTCCCCAATCCAATTTACTCGCTGTCCTGCATTCTTGGCTCCTGGGCAACCTTTGGGGCTGTCCTCCCCAGCGAGGAGGAGGAGGAGGAGGAGGAGGAGGAGGAGGAGGAGGAGGAGAGGAGACGGGGCGCCGCCCTTCTGTCCCGGTGCTGGTCTCCAGGCAGTGAAAAGGAGGGAGCGCGGCGCGGAGCGGGATGGAGACCCGCAGCCGCGGCCCTCGCGATCCAGCGCCGGGCCAAGGTGCTGCCCACCGCGCTCTACCCGCCCATCCTCGCGCTGGGCGTGGCGGGCAGTGCGCTGTCCGCGCACGTGGTGCTGAAGGCGCACCCCCGCCCCGCGCCTGCGCGCCTTCCGCCCCGCGGGGGCTGGTCAGCGCGCCCTTGGAGCGCTCCACCTTGGAGTGGTTACACTGCGCCGGGCTCTCGGCGACTCGGCTGCCTGCTATTTCGTGCGCGAGCTGGGCGGCTACGCCACGGTACCCGGCGTGGCCAGCCTGAGCCGGGAGCCGGGCCTCGCTGTGTGCAGGCCCCTGCAGGGCCCGCCGCCTGCTGTCGCTCCTCGGGGCCCTCTCCTTGGGCCTCGCCCTAGCCAGGGCCGTGAAGCAACATCTGGAGAGGACAGGCGGGGAGACGGACCGTGCTGGTGAGCGGAGCCACACTGCAGGTCTTCACCCAGGTAAGGAGAGGGGACGCCACTCTGCCTGCGCCTTCTTCTGCAAGACTCGGACACCCAGAGAGTTATCTCTCTGCCTCACTTTACAGAGAGTGACCGAAGCGGAGCATTTTATGTCCAGGTTTGAGTTCCACTTCAACGCTGCACATCTGCTCTTCTCACTCTCTGGGGAGCCTGTCCAAGGCTGGGTTTCATGACCCATCCAGGCTCCTGCGTTTTTAAAGTTATATTAAACATAGTAGTTTTTAGTCTTTTGACAAGCTGGAAAGGACAGCCAGGTCAGCCGTGTCCTCTTCCCGGTGGCTCTGGGCTCCCTGTGCCACCCCATCACCCTCCGAGGACGGGGGGCCTCCCCCTAACCAATAGCGTCAGGCTCTGGGGGGAGCTCTGGGGGATCCCGAACTGGATGAAATGGAAGCACGAACTGAGCGTGGCGTTCGGAGGGCCAAATTCTCATCAAAACGTCAAGCTCCAGTCAGCTGGCGCCTTCACTGGGCACCCAGCTGCACTCTGGTAGCCACTCGCTGACACCCCCTGGGTCAGCCAATCACTGCCCCCTAGGGAACGGAGGGACGGTGCTGCCTCAGTGCCCCTGACGCCTACCGGGCTTAGGGTAACGCTGGGCGCAGTAACTCTGCCCTCCTCAGGGCGTCATGCCTGTTGCTCTGACGTTGCCACTACGATCGCCTGTTGCCCGCCACCCTGCCAGGCTGCCACTTCCTCCTGCGGTTTGTACTCCGAGGTTGGGGTTCAGGGGTCTGACATCCCGCTAGGACGAGCGACAGGTCCCAGAAGACAACAGCACTGTGCCCTCCTGAGCACAGGTGGCATCGCCCTGCCAGGGAAGCCGCTGGCCCGTCGGCCCTGCACACCTGGGGCTGCTGGCGCCTGGCCCGGCTCGGTCTGCTCTGGGCCGGCCTGGGCATCGCCAGCCCGGCCCTGGAGAAACAGGGAGTGTCTGGGGCTGAGCTGCTGGCCTGAGCCGGGCGGGCGCGAGGGGCTTCTTTCAAGCGCGCTGCTGGGCTGGCCCAGCCCGTCGGTGCCGGGAAGCGCCTGGTGTGTGCTCCAGCGCCGCGCCCAGTGAGACCTGGAGTGCTTCCGCACACGGAGGCCCAGGAGCTGTAGCGCCCACGATCAGATGCCGCTGGAAGCCCGCGAGTGGGTAGGAGGCAGCGGTGACGTTCGCGTTGACAGCCTGCACCCGCGGGCGCAAGCCTCGATTTGGTCTGACACCTGACGGCCGCGCGGGCTCAGACGAGAGCTCTGACCTCGCTGCGCCCTGCTTGCTGCTGCTGTAGGGTGAGCCGACACCACCTCGCCGGCGTGGCCGTGCAACCACAGACACTGGCCGTCAGTGAGATGCCGGCACACCGCCGGTCACTGCAGGGGCTGGGAGGCTGGGCGGTGGCCCCTGACAAGCTACTTCCTCCCAGAAAAGGCGAGCCCTACCCCCCAGGGCAACCAGTGCCCCCAGAGCTTCACTGATAAGCTGGAGCAAACAGGCACGTTAGTCTGCTTTTCAAGGTTAAATTAACTCATAAAATGGGGGCAAACAAGAGCCTGCAGTCACTATTTACAAAACACAAACGTAACTAAAGAATGTAGGTTTTTATTCCAAAATAGGAATAGTGACGTATACAGAGTGGTCATTTTGTGAACACGGATCTCCATCTTTCAAACTCGGGGAATTATTTGCTTGGTGGGGAGGGGGGAGGCTGACATTGACTCTTTGGCATCATCTTTTAAAATAATCCCTGCCGGGATCGCTGTCTCCCGACGCCGAGGGTGGAGGTGTGGCACAAGGCGGGCCAGATTGCCTTCTGAAGGCCGCTCTGCTGCTCGTATTTCACACGGGGAGATCACGCCGGCCGCGCAGGCTGCTGTGTCAGACGAGAGGCAACTGTCCCGGCTGTTTGAGGCCGAGCGTCCCCGAGAATGACACCACTTCTGGGGCTGAAAGCTGCGTCTCAGGGCTCCCCAGTCGGAAGTCCAGTTCTGGTCAGCTGGTTTCCGCACCCCTCTGGTGGGTCTGGCGGTCAGCCGGCCGGCAGCCTCTTTCCTTGGAAGGCAGATGCCGCCCCCCGAGGTCGGCCTCCACAGCCCCGTCCCTTCCTGAAAGCCCGCAAGGAAGTCTCTCTTACGTCTGCCCTTTCTCAGCGGGGCGATCCCCCCACCTGTGTCGACGGCATCATATTCGCTCTGACAGTCTGCGATGTCACCCTTGATGCTAACTTCTAAGAGGGCAACTTCCGAGGCAACGGCATCTTTCTGGTTAAATGACCTGTTTAGGTTTTTTCTCGTGTCCAGCTTTACAGTTGAAGCGTTTGTTAGGGGTATTGCTGTGGAGTGGCTGGGCGCAGGCCCGTGGCCTGCAGTGCTGGCCCCTTTCCGGAGTCCCAGGACAGGCCTCTGGAGCACAGAGAAGGTGGGCGTGTGCGTGGACGCCTGTGGAGCGCGGGTCAGCCTTGTTCTTCCCGCAGCGGCCTGTGACGAGCCAGGCCGCGGCCCAGCCCAGGAGCGGCGGCCGGCCTGTGTCGCTTGCTCGGGCCTGGCTCGTCCTCCTCAAGCTCCGCCTCAGATGTGGCGTCCGGTCAGAAAGAAGAGCGGCCGGTCCTCCTTGGCGTTGGCGGTCTGGAACTCGTCCCGCAGTCGGAACTGCCACTCGTCCTCCAGCTCCAGGCGGACCACCGTCTGGCGGAGGGAGTTCCGGTCCTGACAGATGACGCACAAGGTGGCACCTGCGGGCACAGGGCGCAGGTGCGCGAGGCAGGTGAGCGGCCGGGCACAGCACGCGCCCGCTCGCGGCAGCGGGAGGCGGAAGGAGCGTGGCAGAGCCGCGCGGCCTGGCGCCCCGGCAGGCCAGTCGGCACGGGGGCAGGAGAAACGCTGCCGCGGAGTGAGTGCAGAAACGGGGGGCGCTGGCCGGGGCACAGACGCGGCCTTCGGCTCGTCCGGGGAGGTCCGCCACCGCGCACCCCCCACCTCACGCCGGCCCAGCTGCTCGCCGCCGGCCGCCCTCCGCAGGCCTTCCTCTCCCGCGGGCCCATCCCCCTCGACGGAGCTCATGTCTTCTGTCCCTGCCCGGTGTCCGCCCGCTTACCTGCCCGTATCCCCATCTCTGTCCAGCCACCCCCATCTCCTCCCCGCCCACCCGCCTATCGACCTACCTGCCCAGCCACCCACCTGTCCCTGTCGCCCCGCTCTCCCCCATCCATGCACACCCACCCGCCGCCTCAGCTACCTCCCTGCACCTGCCCACACACCTGCCTACCTTCCTTCTTAGCTAATGGCCTAAGCTCCCATCACACGGACGCTTCCTGAGGACAGAAACCTCTTGCTAGTTCCCACGGCCTCACCCCACATCGGCCCGAGGGGCCGCTCGTCACCCCGTGACAGCCCAGCGTGAGAACAGCCCCAGGCTGGGGTGGCCACTCCCGGGGAGGGAGCCTCGCCCATCAGGACGAGAGGCCCGAGGCCGCCGGGCGCTCGGTCGGAGTTGAGGCCGGGAAGCAGCCGAGGCTTTGAGGGCGGCTGGCCTCAAGGAAAGGGCCGGTGGTCTCCGAACAGGCAGAGGGGAACAGCCCCGGGGCCCAGCGCAGCTCTCGGGCCTCCCTGCGCGGTCACGGTCCCGCTCTGTGCCTCGGTTTACCCGTACGCAGCAAAGACCAGCACCTGACTCGACCTCCTCAGGGGTTCCGTGCGGAAGTCCGCGTGAGAGGCGGGGAGTTACCTTTCAGAAAGTGGAACTTTTTCAAAAAGCTCGCGCCCACGAAGGAGTCGCAGAGGTACAGCAGGAGCCCGCTGAAGAGGAAGTCGGCACAGCTGATGTTGAGCGAGTGCGGCCGGGAGCTCACGTAACACACCGAGATCTGGAAGAGCGGGGCCGAGAGGAGAGGCCTTCGCCCCCTCGCCGGCAAGCGCCCACACCCTGCTGCCGCCTGGGCCCCCGCGGGCACTAGCTGCCCCGCAAGCTGAAGGCGTGGGCAGAAGCACTATCTTCACGCCGTCGCCAAGGTGAGACCCGAAAAACCCACGTGGAGATGTGAACCCACGTGTGATCCAGTCACGAAGGGGCCTGGCCCGGACTGGGCCTGAGGCCTCCTCACTGCACCGCAGGGTAACCAGGGAACCTCTCCCCGGCCCTTCCTGTGATTGTTTAAAGATTTCTTTATTTATGCAGACACGAGGTGGGGTGCAGGCCAGAGGTGCAGGGTGAGGGGTCCACCAGAGACAGAGTGGGGAGCAGGGCAGGCAGAGCCACTGAAATCCACTGCTGGGCGGGGCAGTGGGGAGGCAGGGGGGTCTGCTGTGCCTTGGGGGTCACTCCCCACCCAGGGATGGGGCTGCGGTGCTGCAGACGCTTCACAGGGCTGATGCTCAACCCCTGCCCCCCCCCCTCTGCCCGGCGACGGGGGGACTGGCGCGAGCAAGCTGAGCGAGCGGCTGGGCCCGCCACGGGGTGAG